ACTTTATACGGGTGGGGAGCCTCTTTGGAGGGTGCGAATATTTTGCCAAAACAGCCTTGGACTGTGGAGGGTACTATTTAGTCGAGATAGCCTTGAGTTTTGCACTCCACGCTTAAAAGCTCTACAGGAACTCTTATACTTATTTCTAATTTTACAATAGCTCCTACGATTCTGCTCAATGCGACAACGCCTAAACCGTCTGAGAGCCTTTCTGGATTCCGATCTAGCTACATTACACTCCTTGTTAAATTTGGGTTTACGATTTAGATCGCCTTGTCTAAACTGTCTCCTAATACAAGATGCCGAATCATATGTACACTTTATGAAATTGTCTATGCCCTCTTCAAGAGAAGTCTCCAATTTACTAAATATTGACTCATTATTGGCATCCAAACTTTCTTTGAGAGAACTTATAAATTCATCGTGCTTAGAAGCATTCCATACAAATTTACTAAAACCAGGACTCTCAGAACAATCAACTGTCCGGTTAGACCGGTATGTACAAGGAAACCTGAACGGCAACTCCAGAGGAAAATGGTCAGAATCAGGTCTATCACTAACATTTAACTTTTCTACGAACTCAAACAAATCAGCAGATGCAAGAAAATAATCAACGACACTTGAGCCATTTTCTCCAACAAATGTAAACTCTCTACCTATCTCTCCATTCTACTCTACCGTTCAATATGAACAAGCGACACATAACACAGATTCAGTAACACACGCCCAAATCTGTTAACGATACTGTCATGTGACACACGCTGGTCAACAGGAGCATTATCTAAATCTGTATAGATATCATCATTGCCAAATTCATCACGATCTTCGCAAATAGGATTATTTTCATTACTAGTACGAGCATTAAAATCGCCACGTAACAGTACATGCGAAGTAGACTCCAGTCTTTCAATGAGACATCTTGAATCAGAACTTCGGTCGTAATATGGAGAATTCACAAGGGGAACATATATACAAACAAGAAATATGTCATTTGGTAGATTAAATACAGATCTCTGAAATTTCAAACACACTAAATTGTTGATTTCAGTCTTCAGTTCAACACATCTGTTTGCAATGTCCTGTCTCACACATACACACACGCCACCTGAGTGTCTGCCAGATGTGGACAGCTTAGCTGCTGGGGCGAAAAACAATTGGTATTCTGTTAACCAGACTTCATGAAGTCTGTTATGAACGTTTCCGCCGTAAAACCATCTGGCCCAGGACTCTTGTCATTTTTTAAGTGCTTCACAGCTTCCTGTATCTCATTGTAGGTCAGCTCACCTTCTAACCCCTGGGTTATTTCATTTGATATTTTAGGAGTATCGTATTCTTTTAGTAGCGATCTAAGGTCTATTCTTAAAATGTCATGTTTTGAGTATAGTTTCGACACGGATTATTATTTCTAAAATAAAAAACAAAAACCAAAAACAAGTTAGGTTTTTGTGCTCTGGTCTCGATGTAAAAAGGCAATATTGTATAACCAACCGGTGTTTACTTGAGGTACGTGACACCCACAAAGCATTTTCACTCAATACATCAAGTGTATTCGACTATTAATATACACATAAGACTAGATGAATGGACACCCAAAATAGAGTCAGTAACACAATGACTGAATGGCTGACACCTAAATCATTGTTCCGAATGCTTTTGAAAAGTATATTCAAATGAACCCACGCGTCTAATTGAAAATTCATAATTAACGTGACATAGTGATACTTCAATCAAACGCGTGGGAAGCTAATGATTTGACACTGACACTGAAAAAATACAACCTGAACGTTCTTTCTGTCTCAGTGGAACCCCTGATGAGAATGCGGTGATGCATCTGATTGTTTCAGGATGAACAGTGTTGTTAGTTATTGATACTGTCAATTTTCGGGTGACAGCATGTGGCGAATTGAAGGGTCACTTGGTGTTAATCCTGGCAGGGACATTGAAATAGAGTGACCTCCCTTGGTTGTTTATTGTCGATCTCCTCCCCAACTCGTCTCGCTCGTCACATTGATAAACATACCTACAGAGAGCTCAAACTATGAAAAGCTTCTTTACTGCTTGGTCACTTGGAAGCTTCTGTCTGATTCTCGATGCAGGAAACAAGAAACTGGGATGTACCTAATGTGTGCGAGATCATGACGATTTGCACTGCCTGACTTGCCCCCTGTCTACTGTACGCTAGACAATATTTGAGGGGACGCCTATGACGACCTGATTTGCCCCTGTCTACTAGACAACATTTGAGGGGCCGCCTTTGACGACCTGAGATGCCTCAGTCTACTGTACGCTAGACAACATATGAGGAACGCCTATGACAACCTGACTTGCCCCTGTGTACTGTACACTAGACAACATTTGAGGGGACGCCTTTGACGACCCGACTTGCCCCTGTCTACTGTACGCTAGACAACATTTGAGGGGACGCCTTTCACAACCTGACTGCCTCCGTCTGATGTACACTAGACAATATTTGAGGGGACGCCCTTGACGACCTGACTTGCCCCTGTCTACTGTACATTAGAAAACATTTGGGGGGGGACGCCTTTCACAACCTGACTGCCTCTGTATGCTGTACACTAGACGATATTTGAGGAGACGCCTTTGACAACCTGACTGCCTCTATATCTGTCTACTGTACACTAGAAAACATTTGAGTGGACGCCTTTGACGACCTGACTTGTCCCTGTCTTCTGTACACTCGACAACATTTGAGGGGACGCCTTTGACAACCTGACTGTCTCTGTCTGTTGTACACTAGACAACATTTGAGGGGACGCCTTTGACAACCTAACTGCCCCTGTCTACTGTACACTAGACAACATTTGAGTGGACGCCTCTGACTTGTCCTTGTCTACTGTACACTAGACAACATTTGAGGGGACGCCTTTGACAACCTGACTTGTCGCTGTCTATTGTACGCTAGTCAACATCTGAGGAGACGCGTTTGACGACCGGACTTGCCTCTGTCTACTGTACACAGGACAATATTTGAGGGGGCGTCAGGTCTTTGGTTTTGCAGCTGTCAAAGTAGAGCGACTATGGTTGTAAATCAAACTGCTAAGATCTTTTAGGCAGGCGCGCAAATCAGTTTAAGTTCCTGCATCAGAGACACTGTTGAAGAGCAGCCTCCGCGTGATGAGTGCCTTGTAACACAAATAGCACATCACACGCGATACAGCAGCGGGGGCCGATAAAATACACAATCACTGTCTGTCTCGAGACCCTTTTGTGTATATTTGATCAAAATTAAAGGACATGTACCTTCTTCGTGGCATAATGTCATTGTAGTCCCTATACCAATACCAAGTCGGGATCATACAGATCCATAACATTCCCGACCAATATCATTACTTAGCTGTATCTGTAAAACCATGGGGTCACTTATTTTTTTATTTGCGGGCTTCCTGCTCAGTCGGGATTATAAAGCAATGTTTTTACGTGTAACTGTCCGGTTTATACAGCAATCCGAGAAAGACAGAATCCGAGTTTGACAGAGTGCACTGTACATAAAAAAAAATTTAACTTTCTTTTTGGGGGGATGTGTGTGATTGGGGGGGGGAGGTGGTGTCATTCACATTGTACATGATTCAGCATAAAAATCTTCATCACCTCCACTAGTATAGCCATAAATTATGAACGGTCCCTAATGCACAACATATATTAGTTGCCTGTGATATCTATACTGTTTTGGCTATGGAACTACTAGGGAAATACTTTTCTAGTTGAAAAGGTGCAATACAAACAAGGCATATTTTTGTATAAATTATTCAAACCTGAAGTCTTTGTATTTCTGCTCATCCTTGATGGCATTATCCCATTTAGTATGTCAGGACATTTATAAAAGTGTTTGTGCAAATGTGTTGTTTGTAAATGGAAAGTTAAAGGTTTCTCAATTGACAACACACAACCAAAGATTCTGCAAAAAAGCGAAGTGCAGCTAGTGAATATTGAAAATTTAATAGAAAGTACCTGCACGCGTGTGTCATCTGTTCAGCGTGTAAATGCTTCACAGAAGATTCTTGAAGCCACGCACCTTCTGATCGTCTCACCCTTGTGCATTGTCTAAGTGAATGTCATTTTCAAATGCAAAGGGTTGGTTGTTTGTCATTTACGCCATACAGTGATTAGGACATAACAATCTAGTCTCGTTGTTGATTAAATCGCCGTTATCTTCGATTTAAGGACATTCTTCAGTCGGCTGAAGAATTGTTAATATGAAACACATAGGAAACATACATTGACAATTGCAATTTCTGTAGGAAAAGACGCCCTCACGATTTTATTCGTAATGCTGAATAAAAAAAATAAAAAATAATTCCACTCGTCCTTTTTAGGTTAGTACTAATAAACTGACATGTAAAGACATGAAGAGAAAGCATTCGCTGCAATGCCATTATCGAAAAGAATGTATGATTCAAAGTACATCATATGAGTCAAATCAGTAACACGATATGGCTGAAATATTCCCGATGTGACTTAAAATCTTAACTCACTCACTCAAATCAGTAACATGCTAACGATTTAAGCAAAGGTCGATCACGCAGGCATGTATAAACGCCAAAGCCAGGGCAGAAGCAGACTGAATTATCTTCTCAGCCAGATACCTTTGGACGAAACTAAAACATATGACGAAAATGATCTGAGTGGATTACTATAGTAGCAATTACTCCTCGGGTAAGGGATAAGGAAATGGACCCGTGAACTCCGGGTTAGAATTAATCTTCAGTAACCCATGCTTGTCGTAAGAGGTGACTAATGGGATCGGGTGGTCAGGCTTGCTGACTATGTTGACACATGTCATCGTATCCCGATTGCGTAGTACCAGGCGCATGCTGTTGATCACTGTATTGTCTGGACCAGACGCGATTATATAGGGACCATGTAGCTGGATTATTGTTGAGTATGGTGTTAAACATTGAGCAAACAAAATGAAAGGACTTAGCAACCAATGACCCTTCAACATACACAACATGTAGTGTAAGAACCAGGGACCAACTTACCCAGTAGCTGAAGGCACATGTGAGGGGACTTCTTATTTCTGACAAAGACTTCTATATCAGTGCATTTTGTCGACACAACCTGAAACCAAACATTCGCGTGTATAGCCAAAGTTTGTGTATCATAATATGTTTCAAAACGAGCAAGCCAAGCATATCTATTAGTTTTCTGCCTTTAAGTGAAAAACATGTAATCCATTTCTTTTTACATTTATGGTACAAGTGGTATGCTTTCAAACAACCCTTTGTATAAAATGTCCCCTTTATCAAAATGTCATAAAATTCAATCTTCGTTATCAGAATTTCAGATCTCCATGGGCAGAAAATTTATAAATATGAAACCCTGTTTCGACATTCAATACTCGCACAATACTAATATTAGCAGAACTAAAACTATAAATGGACAAAAGCCCCCAAAAGCCAAAAAATCACATCTGACTAACACCCCCGACAGTGTCTCCAAACTTCAGCTGAACAACATAAGAAATGATTATTCGTGTCAAAAATAAAACACTTGTATCAAAGTTTGCACTGCACCTTGTCTATAAACCTATTAGCTACGAAACAATTACCCAAATTTGAAAGACATCCAATAAATGAGTGTAGAGTTTTTGTTGAAACAAATTGACCTTTTCCCCATTTCCAGAGTACTTTGTGAGTTCTCACCAATTCAAAATATCATAATATAACTTTGCACTGCCCCCTCCTGTAGATATGGAGGGTGATTCTCCAATTTGACAATAATCCATTCACATTTGTTTTTAAATAAAAGCCTTGATCACGATATGTAAATTGACGCAACTATTTCAAACATTAGAAAATCGGACCCAAGCTTTGCACTGCAGCTCTCCTCTAGACATATTTGCTAATAATTTTCAAGTTACTGGTTGAGCAAACTTTTACTAAGTTCACATATTTAAATTGCTGTAAATATTAAAAACATTAGGCTTTTATGTAAAGGGTTTTTTTTTAAATATTTCATTTATATAATGCAATGAGCTCCTACACGTACTGTGATCTCACATCAGGCGAATCATATCCATTCACACAACTAATTGATGTTTACAGTGGTGGAAGGTTTTATTTCATGGCATTCAGTTCCCTTGCATTAGTTACGTCTTATTCATCGATTATATTCTTGTCGGAGCGATATATTTATGAAAAAATATTAATCCAAATGGGTTAGAACGGTATAAGCTAGTAAACGCTGTTCGCCATTGTAATCTATCAAACTATTCAACAACATGCCGATCGATATCAGATTTAGCAATGTTGTGCTTCAACCATAGAACCAAACAATTTTAACAATAGACGACGGATAGGTTTACAGTGATACGCAACAGTATCACTCTATCAGAATAGGCCAAGCAGAACCGAACGCAAGTATGGCAACACCCCTGGGGTAGATAATATATAATTCATGGAGAATGCAATACTGCTACTATATGCATGTTTAGCGTTAAGGAAATCAAAATCGCACATATCCTTGACAATCCTTGTATCCTTACAATATACTGAACAAAGATATTGTTATATTTCAGAGGAAATGACAGGCCTTCTACAGGGCTAAAATTGCAAACTGTCAGGGAATTCAAATGAAAGTATTTCAATGCCCTGGGGACGAAATAAACAGACATTTACATTAACGCGAGAAAGTTCAACAAGCATAAAAATTACCCGCTGAAAGGAGTCCATTATGGATTTGACCAGCAAATGTAGTAGTATACACAATGGGGCTACGGGACCAGGTCGCCCCCCCCCCAAGGGCTCAATTTTTAAAAATTTAATGAGGAGTGCCAGTGTATCCCGTAGTCCCTATTGTGTATACTACTGCATGCAAAATTTGATGAAAATCGGTCCAATGGTTTCTGAAATATTGACTTTTAAGTGAGCATGGGGTCGGTCGGGGAAAAGGCTCGGGTCGCCTCGGGGGTGGTTGCTCCTCCGAGCGCTGTGGGCCGACGAGTCGCAGTGCGTGTGCGTGTGTCTCTCTCGGCTTGGTGTACGGGTGGCTGGCTGGCTACATTAAGCAGAAAAATAGGCATGCAAGACTGATAAAAAATCATGACGAGAAACTATCATAACACGGTGGGTGATGTGCAAGCGACTGTGTCGTGAGGTACGATCATCAACTCCTCTCGGACGAATGCTCTCGGCGGTCCGTCTTTCAAGTAGTACAAGTTCGGTTCACCGTCTTTCATGTCGACAAGGTCTACGTTGTATGTTTTCATGGACCATATTGGATCAGTGGCGCGTTTTCTGCTGTCTCCCTCGTATTCTCCCGGCTGGTACAAGTACCTAACGCTGACACGGTCCGATAATTGTTTCTCTGTATTATCGCCACGCGCTGCTGCCAATGACGATTCAACAGATTTCATTTTGATGACTTCGACGGGTCTCTTGCCCACGAGTCTGGTGACTTCGTTGTTGATGACATCCACCACTCGTGGCAAGCATACAACCCATTCCGTGTTTCTGTCTCCGGGATCCATTAAATCCTGCGAGTATTGGAGCGAGAACAGGCGTTCGGCTAGGGTGCGATTGAATCTCTCAACGATGGCTTGGGTACGGTGAGCTCCCGCTATACCTCGTCTCACCTGGACATTGTGCTTGGACAGCAGCTGCAACACGGCTCCAATTCACTCGCGTCTGGGATCGACTTGCAATACGGTAGGCCAGGTCAAGCGACTGCGTTTGTATATGTGTTCAAAGGTTTTGGCGACTTCGTTCAAATCTTTCTTTGTCAACGGTTCGGCTTCCTTGTAGCAGCTGGCGACGTCGACGATGGGCAGGACGTACTTGTAGGTTTTGCGCCTCACCCTGTTGTGAGGGAGAAACAGGAGGTCGGCTTGGTGGATGCGATTCGGCGTTGAAATGTCGAATTTACTTCTCGGGATGTATCGAGGTGCCGGGAGGTAGAATTGCCTGATGGCTTGTTTTTTAAGCCAAGCTTTGGCTTTCTTTTCCGAGACTTTGGCGAGCTTCGGGATGGCGTCCGTTGATGGTGGTTTTCTTGACGATGGCACGACCCAGGTTGTTCGTTTGTCGGTCGTGGACTCCAACGTGATCTGAAAAGCCAGTCGAGTCGTGCCAGGGACGATGACGTCGTTCGCGCTCAGGTTTGGGAATCGAACCAGCAGCATTTGGTTTTGATCGATCGTGCTCGGATTGTTTGTGATCGTCACCAACTGATGCACGGCTTTGACACCGAGTGGCTCTCTCGATCTTCGGAAAGGATCTGGCTTTCGTCCGTAATGCAACATTGTTTATATTGAAACTATGTATATTAAAGGTTTAATACAAAAAAAAAATGGCTGACGATATTCCCATGGATGATTTTGACGTACACCAGCTGTACGACAATGATGCAGCAGCCATCGACAACTAGTTCATGGGGGACATCGTGGGCAACGAGCTTTATAGAGCAGGCCGTGGACGAATATTATGATGCTTTAAAGCGACATAAAAATTATGTCAAACCATTGGGTCACGACTATCCGAAATCGACAACGAAGGGACGCTGCGATTGAAAGCTCATCCGGAGGTCGATCTCATGAACAAACACACAAGAAAAACGCTCGCCCTGTCAGCGCTAGCCAGTCGTCGTGGTGGTAGTCAACTGATCCCCGATGAACTAAACCTGCGAGATTACGGCGGCGCACGACCCAAACAACTTCCACCGAAGGTCATCCGAGATCTGCAAAACGTAAGGACCGAACTCGGTAATGCTAGCGCTGCTGATCTGAGAGAAATGCCCCAGCACACCAAAGAAGCGTCGGAAGAAATCGAAAAAATATTGGTCACGAACTTGAACAAACCCATGCCCGGTTTTGAATTTCCTCTGAGGGAACTTCGTCCCTTCACGACCAACGATCCTGGAACGTGTTTGCGTCTGAGCGCCTAACACGGCCTACACGTACGTTTGAATCGAATCGTTTAATCTGACAACACCACCACCGTTCGGAATGTCCAGCAGGAACATTTTCAATCATCCACAGGTCTCTGCTCAAACCTCCAAACGCGGTAATCCTTGCTGCCTTCGAAAGCCATGTAATCGTCATTCCACTCGTTCGTCTTGACGGAATGATACGACTTGTAACCCCAATCTTTCACCAGCTGTTTGCTGGCTTCTGCGAGATACATGGAATGCCCAAACCGTTGTTCTGACCCGACAAACGCCAATTGAGCGTCTTCGGATCTAGTTCGAATTCACTGCAAACGCGTTCATACGCACGTCGATCGTATGGATTGTTTACGGCATTCCATGCCTTGTCCTGCGGAATCAGGGCACTGATTTCTTTCAGGCTACGTCTGATCTGGTAGTACACTGAAACAGGAATACAGACCGACTCAGCGCATCACAAAGAGTGTCGTTCAACGTCATGCCGCACCCGGTCATCGCGCACCACACGGCGAAATTGAATTGATTCTGCCAGAACTGCATCGGGTTGTGGAACCAAGCATGTACCATTTTCACATTCGTGACCGTAAATTTTAAACAAGTCGATGAACCAAACTATGAAAAGTAAACCATTTGTTTGTACATATTTGAATTGTTATATTTTAGTATACATATCTACTTTTTCAATATGTACGTGACGCTTACGGGAATAACGAGCAGTGAGTCTGCTGCACTCAATCGATTACACGTCCGGTCAGCTCAAAGTCGCACTCTGCGATATCACCTCCTGCCCGCGATGGACCAACATCAACGGCAAAAACAACTGGCTGTTCGTTAATAACACCCGCAACCAAAAAACGGACGGCTACTACAGCGTCACGGAATTGAAAATATTGGTTTTAGACGTTAAACTTGATCCCGTAAGTATAGGATATCTCAGCACGATGCTGCACATATGGCAATGACGGATGCTCATGGTCCAGGGACACGCGTTAGAATATGTGCCAACATAGCGATCGACGAACCCGGAGTCGACGGCAAACTGTACGCCTTGCAACTGAAAAACAGCATTTACAAACGCGTCAAACTGCCACCCTCTACTGCCGCTGGTGGTGGTGGCAACGACCTAGGCGATTTTGTCGATACCGAAGGAGCGGTCAACAACACGTGATACGACCTGATCCACAACGACGAGGACGAATGGACGATAACCCCAGCCTTCCGCGGCAGGCTGTTCAACCTGGACGACATCAAGACAACGGCCGTCTCCAGAAACATGCAGTACACTCTCATCTTCAACGACTACAACAAAAGGGTATTAGTGCTATCCCAAATCGACTGGAATCTCAACATCACGCTCGACAACTCCCAACATTTTCACGGACAACAAGGATCACTACCTCACGAAAGTCGTGGCTTACATCCCTACACAAAGATGCAGCGTGATCGTCAGCACGTTGAGGCAAAGAGTAGCCCATATGCTGTCGAGCAAACCCAGGACGCAAAACGTGGGATTGCAGATGGTGTCGGAATTCGACAGCGTGGTAAACGTCTCGGAAAATCTGCAGGTGAAATCCATGCTGTACATCCAAGTCTACCTCGGCGAACTGCCGTCGGTGCGTAACGTCGTCGAAATCGTGTAACGGATCAAACTCCGCTGGGCCAAACAACAACAATAACGTCGTCGAAATCTGTGGTGAACGTTGATTGAATCATATTTTATTCAATTAAGAAACGGATTGGGCACAAGTTATCCAACTTAAATAATCCACATAGTTACAAGTTATATTACAAAAAGTTCAACAAGAGGCAGATGCGGGTGAGATATGTAGACAGCCTATAAATCCAGTATGGATGTAGATATGTACACTTTTAAAAACCGTTGCCTATGCCAGTCTGCAGGGAGTCACCGTGACCGTGGAAAACACGATATAGCTCACTGAAATTTTCCTACTCAACAACATACATCTCATGGGTTTGAAGTTTGAAAACCATTTCGTAATACATTATATATAAACGAGATGAACCATCATCATCCCAACGTAATGCTAGCCGATCTCGGAGACACGAGGGGATTCGATCTGCCCGGCGAGGAAAACACCTTGTACGCCATGCGCTTACAAGACAACGTGTACAAATGACAAAAAGTCATCATCGAATCTCAGTGAAACTGGATGATTAACCTGGTCCTGACCTACCCCTATCTTATCATGGATAATAATGATGGTGGCGTCTCGCTAAAATACTGCTTGGGAGGTTTAATCCTGGAAGAAGAACGTGGACGAGCGTAAAGCCATTATCAGATCAAACAGCTAACATGTTAGTCCCCAATGAGAAAAAAATAGCGTTATTCATACTAAAATATACTTATGTGCCAGACTCGTGGATCAGTGTGATACAAGGTTCTACTCTTATTATCGAAGTATTTCTTGGAGATGCCCCCGGAGTGGATATAATCCTTCTGCATGCGTTAGAAGTACGCTGGCATGATCGCCATCAACAAAAACGTTGTCGTACTTGTATACAACCAGGAAAAAAACCCACAGCAAACCTAGATATTATGATATTTCAAAAGGATTTTATTGGACTCGAGGCCATTTATATATACCTCAACGTGTACCTCATCAGCTTAAAGTATATTCATCAAAGATGAACTGAGGACCAATTAAATACTATTTTATAAAAAAATGTATATATACAGAAGGGGACTGTACCCGGTCCTGGATGAAGTAGCAAAAACACTGGAAACCGTAGACGGGTTTCGTTTGCGACAGATATGCGAGATCAAACAACAACTAGAATGTGAACGCGATACATGGTCGGCATTACAGAAAAAATATCACAGGGCCGTCAATTCTGTGGACGGTGTTGACAGCGCTCTGGTTTCAGTCAGCACGGGATTAGGCGTAGCAGGTATCGGGTTATTATCCACCATCGTGGTCGCACCCGTGGTGCTAGGCATCGAAATAACAGCCGGAGTGGTAATGTTGATGGGATTGACCCTTAAGTACGTGTTTCGCAGACTGCAACGTAAAACATTGAAACACAACGAAATTAGAATTCTAGCGGAAGTGAAGTTAAACACGATAGACGATCATATTTCCAACGTGCTCACCGACTCTAAAATCTCCGAAGAAGAGTTTCGTTTGGTGCTATCAGAAATCGCAAAATATCACAGAATGAAACAAGAGATTCGGACCAAGCCTAGTACAAACGCCGTCATTTGAGAAGAGGGGGAAAAAATTCATAGAACAAGGGAAGCAACAGGCCCAACAAGCCTTCATTACGACAACCAAACAAATCATAGAAGGAGATTCACAATAAACTGTTTCGCGGACATCAACATAACGTAGCCAGCCATCTCAGCGAGCTGTAGGTAAATAGCCGAGCCGAGACACACACACTGCAACTCGCCCACAGCGCTCGCTCAGTGATACCGAGACGACGACCCGGGGGAGGAACTGCCGAGAGATGCGTTTCATTCACTTTCAGACATCTGTAGCCTCGCTAGTCAGCCGGCCGTGCATCATCATCATAGCCGAGCCGAGCCGAGCCGCGAAGGTTGAAGTTTGTAGAAAGATGACTCTAGATGCTGGTTGGATCGTTTTTAACGCCGCACTAAGCAATATTCCAGCTGTATGACGGCGGTCTGTAAATAATCGAGTCTGGACCAGACAATCCAGTGATCAACAGCATGGGCATCGATCTACCCGGTTGGGATAGGATGACATGTGTCAACCAAGTCTGCGAGTCTGACCACCCGTTCCGAGTCGCCTTTTATGACAAGCATGGGTTGTTGAAGACCAATTCTAACCCGGATCTTCACATTCTAAGTCCAGGAAATATATGAAAATGACACTAATCAATGGATGCAGCTCAAAACTAAAACTAGCAAAACTTCATCCGTTGAAGGGATGTGAAAAAATGTCGTCTTCTTGATGACAATGAAAATCGAAGATTCGAAGATTTATGTGTGAGACAACAGAACATGTAGATAGTCAGGAACCTTAAACAACGTTAAACATGTCAATATTTGTTTTTCTTCAACACACAAGAAGCACACAAAACCCGTTTCATAAATTGAACATTGTTTGTGTGAGAGATTCATGAAGGTAAATGATGGCAATTGGTTTACTTCCAAAATGTGACATTGCATAAATACCCCACTGGTAACTGCATTGCATTGTCACCGTCATTGTCATCATATTCCTTTGTTTGTTGTTGACTAACAGCGTACTCAGCAATATTGCAACTATAAGACGAGGGTAAGTAATTAAGTGTGGGCGGGACAATCCAGGAATAAACATTATGAGTATTAGGGCTGCGCAATATAACCGGTTTACCGGTATATACCGGTTCAGACATGAAAACGATACGTATTGCGATACGTTGATCGAAAACCGGTATTTTGACATGCATTCGGAAAACTTGGTAACACTCGAAAATCTTTGGATATTTATGTCTTTTACACCGGAAGCCATGCGTGTGTTGTAAAATGGTGATCCCCAACAACGAACAATATATTGTGGTGCCAAATACTAGGTAAGGCAAAGGCATCGGTAAGGCAGCATTTTGGGTTGAAAAAGTTCACGGTAGGTGGAACAATTGGTAAGAGTAACGCGGTATGTAAAATATGTAATGGTAAAGTAGTTTTTATTAAAGATTAATCAGGCATAGTGATTTTGTTGTGTTTTTGCTTTGTAAATCAAGCATTAACGTCCTGCAATATATTGCAATACATATCACAATACATGCTTTCGCATCGCAATATATCGCAATATGAAAATTCTTTGCAATACCCACCCCTAATGAGTATCGATCATCGCGATTGGAATACGACTTTATACACGCATGACCGAGACGTCCCTTACAAGCGTGGGTTGATGAAGACTAGTTTAAACTTTTCACGGGTCAGAATAAGCCGACTGGGTCCAAATGAGTCATATATATAGTCTGCATGCCTTACCTCTGGTGGCGTTGAAGGCTGCGAGGTCACAAACACTTCAGCACTTGCCTGTGTATCTCTTCCTAGAGTGAGTTCACATGACCTTGACTTCGCATTGTAGTTGAATGTTTTACAGAGGGGTTGGTAGGAACACAGTCTTTGGCACTGAATGACATTTTTAACAGGTGCGGTGTAGTACTGTGACTGGTCGCTAGTGTATCCGACCTTCGTTGACTGACCAGTCAGAAACGAAGACAGAGCGATCACTATCTGTAGTTTGAACAGGATCACTAAGGTGCTTTCTTGGTAGCTTGACATTGTCGCACGCCGTCCGAGCGGTATTTTCTGGAACATACAATAGACTGTCACCCAGACACAAATACAGTTTCCAAAACAAATGGGTTGAAACGTATACAACTGCTCTTGGAGTCGCTTTTCACAACAATTTACAATCCAGAAACATAATTCCCGAAAATTGTTCTAACCCAGAAATAAATGAAACCTATTCGTCTATCATTAAGAAACCATCTGAAACAACCGCAGATACGTCTAGCGCTAGGACGACCTCAAATTAACGGCTTCATCTTTACACTGACAGACAGACTTGATGTGAGTGAACACAGAAGCACCTTAGACTTACAGTCATGAGCACTGTAACTGCAGAGTTACTTCCTGACCTCAAATTCTGTCTCAAGTCCAAACACAGTCATGTCTATCTCAGGAAGTAAACTTCAGCTCCAAAGCCTCAATCATGTAAGTTTCACAAACCTGAAAGAAACAAAACCAAGAACCGAATCTTATATGCCAAACGCAACTGGTAACGGTAAAACACTGGAAGATTTCATATTGTCCTGTGAAACAGTCTAAAATGTATTCGATCATATCTGGACAACAGGAAAACTTTCATCGTGGCGAATTGTTATTATTCCAATACCTAAAACTGGTCGGGACCATACTGATCCTTCCAACTGTAGGCCAATATCGCTTATAGGCCGTGTATATTGAAAGGTAAACGGACCCGTGAAGGTCCGGGTTAGAATGAGCCTTCAGTAACCCATGCTTGTCGTAAGAGGCGACTAATGGGATCGGGTGGTCAGGCTCGCAGGCTTGGTTGACACATGTCATCGGTTCCTAATTGCGCAGATCGATGTTCATGCTGTTGAACCCTGGATTGTCTGGTCCAGACTCGATTATTTACAGACGGCCACCATATAGCTGGAATATTGCTGAGTTTGGAGTAAAACTTAACTCACTCACTCACTCACTTGAAAGGTAAATGGTCAATAATAGGTTAATATGGTACTTAGAGGCAAATAATATTATTACAAAAAGCAAAAGTATTTTAGAAGAATAAAGTACAAGTTACCTTTTGGATAGATTGGAAACATACGTGCGGAATGTCATCAATGCATAAGACATTGATTCTATATTTTTCGATCTAGAAAATGAGTTAGATACAGCATCAATAAGATGAATTCGATAAAGAGACAGTTGCAGCTTGTCTCAATAATACCACGGCTGGCCAGAAAGTACCAGCTTTCAAGATTCTGAATCCATATTGTGATCGAGACATACATACCTACCTACCTACCTACCTACCTACCTATCTACATACATACATACATACATACATACATACATACATACATACATACCTACCTACCTACCTACATACCTACATACATACATACCTACCTACCTACCTACCTACCTACCTACCTACCTACCTACCTACCTACCTACCTACCTACCTACATACATACATACATACATACATACATACATACATACATACATACATACATACATACATACATACATACATTCGGATTCGTGGGTTCTTTTAAGTGCACAGGGTTGTGTACTGTACACTAGAGTCTGAAAGAGTCTGCACACAAACTTGACTCCAAGGCTTTTTAACCCCGGTCACAGCTGGGCTCGACCCCAGCACCTCCGAGCTCGCTGGATTACTAGCCTGGCGCCTTAGACAGCTCGTCCACCGCAGTAGGCGTAGTAGTGAAGGAAACCGAACTCTTGGGTGTCATTTTCAACTTCATGTTTCTTGCCACACACTAAATACGTTAAAACTAAATGTCTGAAGACATTGGGTTTATGAAAAGCTATGTGGAAGTGATCAGTCGGTTAGACCCAGACTCGAGTATTCACAGGTGGCTTTCTTGTAACTGGAAAATTGTTACGCGCTACGTTATAACAAGCCAACAATAACCATGTGTCACAAATAGGTTATTTGCAGTTATTTACTGATGAATTTTTTGCTGTAGTGAGGTTTGCCTTTGTTAATATTTCAGCTATTCTGGTGCTATATGTACAGAAAATGATGTTTCAGATGATCCCGTTAACATAGATATAGGTAACACTAGTTCACCGACTCTTTCAAACGGTGGTTTGAAAGATATCTACATTGAGGAATTAAAATTAAGGAACACAGTTGTTGAGGTAACATATATATGTACATGTTTCATGTACAATGCGCTGATCAGATACAGCTTAGAACTCTATCATTCGTAACATCATTTTGGCCATGTGCCATAAATATGCTTATGTTTCATAACATAACATGGTCGCCGGAATGTAAGTAAACGGTGTACATGTAAGTGAGGAACCAAGCATAACAATGATGATTTCTATCCAATCGGGACACTTTGAAACATTTACTTCTACAAATAGAGCTAAATTCCGAATGCAATTGCGTTATTAGTGCAGAACGCTTGTTGCACCTTTGATTTTTTTGTATAGAAATACTGCCTGCAATCAGGATGTGTCATATAAAACCATGAAATTAAACTTGTCTTTACATATATAAAAGTCAATATTGATCGACAATACGTTGATACGAATATAATTTCTCTCATTTTGTGTTACTGTTGCACGTAACAAGGGTGACAGAATCCCTACCTTTCGTGTTGGGTATGTCTGGAAATATGGGGAAATATTGTCTGAGTTAGCCGTCTGACAATTATATCTGCCACATACGAATGATTTCAAAGCAAATGAGATTTTTGTGTGATGTTATGAGAGTTTCGTATGCTATGAACCATATAAGTTCATTCAAACAAATGACTGGGTTAAAACTACTGTAATTCGGTGAGTCCATAATTGTAATTCGTTATGTCCCTTAGTCGGATGAACATTGAATCGAATCAAAACTTACCCTAGAAAGCTTTGGAACATATTGCATGCCATAGACAAGATTTGAATGTTAATATTTGAATGTAGTGTGAACGGACAGTGTTTATTGGTATCACACTGACATCCTTTGTGCATAGCTTTATGGATTAATGTATTCATTCAACTTTACAATGGGCACGCAAAATTAACATCCCTTTAACCAGGCCTTTATATGGCTGAGTTGGAGTCATAGCTTCATAAATGAGAACTATCGCACCACGGTAAATGCTTGTAATTGGCGGTAGCGAAATAAGACGATAGTGCCTGGCGAACACGAAGATGGAGTGCGAAAATACAACCAACCAACAGGAGTTTCAAAATCAAAGTCAACACACATGTAGATCAATACCTGAAGAAATAATTAATAAACTGAGAAAGAGGGAGTGACAGGTTCATGAAGTTTGACTGATCGTCTTCAGCATGCAGACATTCATCGTAAACAATAGAGTTGTGGAGTCATGCATTAAGCATGAATTTTCTTTGTGTTTTAAATGTCATAAATAGTGCCTTTTTTCCCGAATCTCTTGTGTCTAATGATCGTCACTATATGTCTGAGATATTGCCGAGATGACGTTAAATTTTAACTCACTCATTCATGTCTAATGATAACTCTATATTTGTCCACCTACGTTGTTGAACCCCTCCCATATCCTCAGGGAGAGCGTCATCCTTTTGTTAAAATGTTTTAATACAGAACATGCATTAATTGCTTATGGCCTAAGAGCATTGCTTATGTTTACATGGTTTTATCAAAGCGTATTCTCCAATCACCAAATACTTCTTTACAAACTGTGAACCACATCAAATATTTGTCTATTCCACAGTTGAATACCACGATTCCTAATCGTACATTCGCGTATTGAAACGAACAGACAGTGAAATGAACAAATAAACAAACGCTCTTCCGACAACTCTGATTATTTTAAACAATATCCCTCAGCATGGTACTCAATTACCAAAGAAACACATATGTTGAGACGTCATGGGCCTGTGCATTCGTAATGGTTTACAACTCACTTATGTAACATGCTCAATGTAGCCATGTGGGAAATGTTTTGAAAAGCACAGTGAACATCAATTAGAAAAACCCCATATCATGTTTGTACTCATATTCCTTACTCTCAGTTTTCGCCATTAGCAAATGGGATGTCACGGTTGAACCAGCTTTGTGATCATTTATTTGTTTTCACTTATTTGGGTTTCACGGATTTTTTTCCTACAAAATATCCATTTGGTTGCAGTGTTCAATCAAATTACCTCTATGACTGCATTATAATTGCATCATTAAAAACAGTCAACTAGTGCAAACTCACCTGGTTACTTAACTTTGCATCGACAACAACAGCAAAACACTTAGGCTTATTATCATATGTTAAGTTCAAATTGCATGTGGTCAGTGATCGCAGTTGTGTATTGAATATTGTTTATAGCAGCAGAGACCATATAATCTATTATATGGTCTCTGTTAGCAGACAGGCAGGCAGACACACAGGTGTCAATAAAACAAGACATTGAGTTTTGTCTGTGACAGCTGACATATCTATATCACAGTTAGAAATTGTGTTAACTCTAAATAATGACATTGCTTTTAAGTATCGAACTGGAGAAAGTGACTTGGTAAGAAGAACGTGGTGAAATAGACAGAAATGAAATTATATAAACAGTTTATTTACTGTCATAACATACAAAAGCTCGCGCCTGTGAGATATCAACGAAACATTATGAAAATAGCTCACACCAAAGCCTTCACAGAGTATTCACCAGAAAACGCACTTCCAAGTTGCGCGAACTCATTTCACTGCGTGCACGTGCTATGAGCGCAGCCCGAGCTGTTGAAACCCGTATTCCCAAGAAAAGTCTGGGGGAAATTAGTGAAACGTTTGAACTCCGATTTCGCGCGTTTTTTTTTTCATCGCGTTATTTTTCAACTTTGTAAGTTAAATTTGCATTTTTGACGCTTTGTTTCTGGTAAGTCCATACCGAAGGGTAATTGGCAATCTGCAAAAGTTGTGTTTTTACGTTGATTGTGATTAACTCATTAAGCCCGAGAGACACTTCACTACTCAATTCTGGAACCCCTCGCTGATTGCCCGGCTCGCTGTTTCGAGCTAATTAGTGCTATTCACACATGATTTCCCTGGCAGGTTTCAGGGATGACAGAAAACTGTCTAGTCATACAAACAAGCTCTGATTGTTTAATTGTGTCGTAACGATACAAGTTAAAAGAAAGCAGGTGTGAATACATATCATGTATTGCAACGTTTTATGTAATTTTATTGCAAGTTTCTCTTGTAGACCTTTGGCGGCTTGTACATTTATGTTTTATAAACATATGTATGTATTCTTTGTATGTAAGAGATCAGACTTACATAAACAAATTCTTTCTCTTATATCATTGTGCGAGGTTTAATTTTACAAAATATCTATGACAATGACAAACTGTAATTTACATACATGCTTTATAATCTTCTACGATATTAGCGTTTTTGCCGATACATTTCTAGTATAAACTGAATATTTCAAGGAAAGTACTATTACGCTAGACTGTGACTAACAAGGAGCACATTCATAACTTTGTT